TCAAACAGAAACTAACTCATTCATACACATTCAGACAGCATCCGGAGCAATTTGGGGTTCAGTATCTTGCTCAAGGACACTTCAACATGTGGCAGGAGAAGCCGGGGATCGAACCAACAACCTTCCGATTAGTGTAAGACCTGCTCTGCCTCTGAGCCAGTCGAATGTCTGGCAATGAAACCTCATCGTGACATTTGATTCCCTTAGCATACACGAAGTAGTCGAGGTACAATAGCAGAGATGTGATGAGAACGTGATTAATTTGTTCCTTTTCTGGAGAGTAGACACATGTCTAAACAAGACTGGTGAGTAGGATTTTACAAGAAAAACAAAAGACAGGAGTGTTTTTACATGCATCATTCAGTGCTGGCTAAAATTCCTTGGAAAGCGAATCACCTTCATTCCATAGCAAATAATTAGGGCTGAATTTTGCTTTGTGGTGCACCTGTTCAATGGGTTCTAACCCTAAGCTGTTTTTATACTTGGCCAAAGCTTAAGTTATACAAGGGTAATATAAGAGTGAAATCTCAAAGAACAAAACAAAAAAAAAAAACTGACATCCAAACGTGTGCTCAAGCAGGCTTCTGAGATGACCTTGAACTTTGCCCCTCCTTTTTCCAGTCTCCATGGTGGAGAGGTCATGTGACTCAGGTCTGTTTGGTGACACCTGAAATTCATTGTATGTTGATCTGTTCTGTACATACGACATGTATTAGATGTCTGTCTGTCCTGGGAGAGGAATTCTTCCTCTGTTCCTCTTCCTTAGGTTTATTACCTTTTTTACTCATTGACTGTTTTTGAGATTTTCCTTATTCGAATTGAGCGTCTACGGATAGACGATGTCATATGCTATACATATTATATAGACCCTAGAAACAAATTATATTGGGCTACATAGATAAAAAATATAAACTGACTGATAAGTTGAATACATTTTAAATGGATGGATGACACTGGAACCAGGTTACCAGGTTCTCCTGAATTTGGATATTTATAGTTTAAGCTGGTCCAAATAAGAAACACAAGTTACTGTATATACTGAATATAACTCAGTTTGAACTGAATTTATTACTAACCTTCTTAACTCTCAAACAATGCATGCTGGGAAATCCCATAAGTTGAGTGAAGTCTTACTGGTTTATTCATTCAACTCAAAATGAAAAGACTTCAAGTTAGGTGGACTCTGAAGTGGTCTGAAAATAAATAAGCTGATTATATTAATAAAACTTCAATATTTAATATTTAAATATTGTTAATTCTACTAAATTCCTGTGAATATTTTACAGTAAAAAACAAGACAATGCTCTTTGTAGTAAAAGTATCAGGTATCCCACAATACGGTACACAAAACTGTGAGTAGTTAGATATTTAAGGAATTGTTAGTCCTGAATAACTAGAGGACTATGCATCATACAGTATAACAATGAGCTACTAGAGAACAGACTGGGAGATACTATTTTAATGATTTGTGTGCTTTTCTTTGGGTGATATGTCTCAATAAAACACAGTTGCTGTCAGGTAACTTCAATGGTGAGTTGTGTTCTGTTGTTCTGCTTTTCCTCAAAAACATTTACATCCATCCAAATGATAGACAGAGCCAAGCCAGAAGTCTCAAGTAACTTTGTGGTCCTCCAGTCACTTTCTCAGAGCCCAGTCATTAGGTGTGCCTTCAACTGTTTATCCATCTGGATGGAGAGAGAGAGAGAGAGAGAGCGAGAGGAGAGAGCGAGAGAGAGAGAGAGAGAGAGAGAAAGAGAGAGCCTGGCATATATGAACTTACAGACATTTCCAGCCTCAAATCCAGGGCGTCTTTGATTGCCCTGCTGGGTTTGACCAAATATACCCTCCTTCAACGAACACATGCTAGTAATACCCATTCCATATGACCACTTAAACCCAGTACAGAGGCTTCAGCGGCAACCCCTGTTTGCCTCTGCTTTGGCGCCTGGATCTGTTCAACGCCAAGTCGGACAGTGAAGCCATGTTTGCAAGGAGATGATTCTGCAGAGCATCTCCATCGTCCTCAGTGTCCATCTGCCTGGAGCTGTTCCTGTGAAGTGCTGACCTGTAGTACTGTAGAGCTAGTAAGGATGTGATCAAAAGTGTTATGACTGTATGCAACTGGAGAGCCCAATTTAAAACAATTAATTAATTTCAAAGGGCTCCCTAAAGACTAACAACACAAAGAAATTTGATGACTTTATGATACTGACTAATGTTACTTTTGCACACATACTTACACACAAGACACTAAGTTGTTGCAAATTACCGCAGTTATTCTCCATGTAGCTAAAGATTATACCCTGCCACCGAATCCGGATAGGTGCATGGCTGTTTTGTATCTTTCCTCAACATTTTTGCCTTTGGAAACAACAAGTGTTTTCTGATCTGACGCTCCTTTTGGAAAAATGACATCATTTGGTAATGTCATTTGGTAATCATAGTTACAAAATGGATTCTTGGGTTTATGCACAAAAACTACTTGGCAAAAGTGAAGAAAAGATTGTGGTTTGGGTTACCATGGCCCTTGTCATCATGATCCAAAGAACTACTTGGTTGAAGGACAGTGTTAGTTGGGGCTTTGGTTGCACAACCCTGTGCTGTACAATGATGCATGATGAAGCCACCCACCTAGAGCTGGGGTCCGTCTGTCCGAGGTTTCTGCCTCTTAAAGGCCTCCGCACACCAACCCGACGGCCGACCGTCGGCAGAAAAGTCAGTCAGACTGATCAGTCGGCTCCCGTCTCTCCGAGTCGGTCAAAAAATGCCTCCGAACACACCAAACCGACCAACTGGAGCGTACGTTCTGCGCATGCGCGAGGCGCTAATACGTCCCCATAACAGCAGGCGGCGCTAATCTGTGCTGTCACCCCAAAAAAAATAAAACCGGAAATGACTGAATCACTCTAGACTAGGTAAACACAGAGCACAGCTGTCGTCAGTCATTGTTTTCATCAGAGAGTGTTGATAGTTAGTCAACAAGGATCGTTATTGTCATACTCGGCTGAACCGGAAAACGAGGGCTAATAATAAACAAAGATACTGGCGTTGTTACCAATCGTCACTTCCGGTTTTCTCGTCCCAGCTCACTTGATTCACTAGTCAAGGGCTAGCACTCCACCAATCAGATTGGTCATCGGAGACCGACGGCCACCGTGGCCGATTCTACATGTGGAATCGCGCCAAAATAAGGCCGACGCCGGACGGCTGACTGACGACGGCGCAACGGACACACCGACCGACTCGAGCCACCGACCTCCGCCTGACTGTCCGACGACGTCCGACGGCCGATAATCGGGTTGGGTGTGCGTGAGAGCCTTAAAAGGAGTTTTTTCCTTGGTCAGTCGCCAGAGTGCTTGCTCATGGTGGGAACTGTTGGGTCTCTGTAAATAATTTTATAAGGAGTACAGTCTAGACCTGCTGATTTGAAAAGTGTCCTGAGATACTGTAGCTTCTGTTATGAATTGGCGCTATACAATTAAAATGTAATTGAATTAAATTGTTATAGGAATGCAATGCTAATTTGGGGGAGTAAGGTTAGGGAACAATCATAGTCGAGTCCTCACTGCAGCGGCCTGGGTTTGAATCCTACCTTTAGCCCTTTGCTGCATGTCATTCCTTCTCTC